TATTTGTTGTATCTTGGGCCTGTCAAAGTTCTTTTTTTCAATTCAAAATCCAGGACTAAGATCTCGATCTTCTTGTATCTGTCATATTCTCTCAAAACCTGTTTTCAGTCAGAGATGATCAAAAAGTGAAACTGTCTTCCCTTCAGTTGTTTGCTTGAACAACTGTCAAGCAATCCCTATAGGAGTCTATGACAGAGAATTGTTAAACACAGAAGGGGAAAGAGAATCATGGCAGTTACTTTTTATAATTAGTTAAAAAACTTATAGGAATGCTTCTGTATTTCCTCCCAAAATTTAGTAAATATTAAAATCAAAATGTCTGAAAGTGGCTTCTGATTTTATTTTGCTCAATAGAGATATGCCTCCCTTTTGGCATATGGAGTAAATTCACTTTTTTAAGAAAATGCTGAAAATGCATTCTTTTGACTTTCTGATGACAATAAGACATTCGAGGAGTAAGGCTGAACTTTCTGAGTTCTAGTTCTAGTTTTCTAATTTGGTTGTTCAGTAGATTTGATGTGTGTTACTGTTAGGTAGTGAAATGTGTATTAACATAGGCATTATGTATTGAGGCTCTTTGTTCAGTTAAGTAACACTGTGCTGCTCCCTAAATGTGCTAGGAATATTTTGTCTAAAGCTGTAGAGAATGGATCTACTATGGGGTGAGGGACTGTTAGTTCTAGAAACTTGGGCACCCAGCAGCTTTGGCCTCCAGGTATAAAGGGTATGTTCATGCATATGTATGTGTAGATATGTGTGCACGAGCTTGCATGTCTCTGTGTTATAGTTGTACCTGGTAATCTAAAACACACACACAACTCTGCATACAGTATGTGGCAGTGAGAATTGGAGCTGGGATGGGGAGGCTGCACTCGCAGGGGCAGGGCCAGGACCCTGCTCATTGCACCAGGTACGTCCATAATAAAACATCCCTCATTCACGAGTTAATCCTAGATGAGGGGGCAGACCTGGTTTGTATTACAGAGACCTGGGTGGGAGAAGTGGGGGAGTGGGGCTCACACAGCTGTGTCCACCCGGGTATCTAGTGCAGTACCAACCTCGCCTAGAGGGAAGGGGAGGTGGCATGGTTCTAATTTACAAAGAATCATTCTCCCTCATGAGACTTCCTGCACTCTCAAGGCCAGGTCTTGAGTGTCTGTACCTGGTGTTGGGTGATCAAGACAGACTGGGGACTCTGTTGGTGTACTGCATACCCTTCTGCCCAACAGACTATCTGCCTGAGCTGATGGAGATCATCTTGGACCTGGGGTTGAAGACCTCCAGGATTTTGGTTTTGGGGGACTGCAGGGGCCAGGACAACCATGGGGGTCCCAATATGTCACCAGCCAAACACATGAAAAGGGGTCGCAATCTTGACCTAGTCTTTTTGTTGGGACAGGAAGATGGTAATCTGGAAGTGAGGGATTTGGTGTTAATCCGTTTGTCATGGTCAGATCACTATCTTGTGAGGTTCAAGCTTGGAGGCAGTTTTCCCCTCTGTAAGGCTGCGGGTCCTATTAAATTGGTCCAACCCTGGAGCCTTATGGATCCTGATAGATTTCTGAGGGTTCTTGGGAAATTTCTGGTTGCTATGACTGGTGCTTCTGTCAACATCCTGGCTGATTTGTGGAATAGAGAATTGACCCAGGTGATTGACACGATCACCCCTAAGCACCCTCTCCCATCATGCAGAGCCTGCATGGCACCTTGGTATATGCCTGAACTGCAGGTAATGAAGCAGGCTGGGAGACAGCTAGAGTATAGGTGGAGGAAATCCCATGCTTATCTGACTGAACATGACTTAGAGATTATCGAGCCTATGCTGTGGTGGTGATGGCTGTGAAGAAGGAATTTTTGTCCACTTCCATCCTTATTTGTTTTTCGGCGCCAGGCTAAGACCTTTTTATTTTAAACTTATTTTAATTATTTAATTATTTAATTAATAGGATTTTAAATTTTTAGCTGAGAATGCACTGGGGGGGTTTAAACATTTTTTTTTAATTTGTTGTACTGTTATTATTTATGTATTTATGTATTCTTTGTGAGCTGCCCCGAGGCTTTGTTGCGATGGGGGCGGCATAGAAATGTTTTAATTAAATAATGCCATCCAGATTCCATCATACCATCAGTAGCTCATTGTGATGTTTTTGCCCAGCACTTTAGGGATAAAGTTGCTCAGATTTGCCACAAGCTGGACTCCACAGTTGATGTGGTTCTGAAGCAAGAAGTGTCCAGAGCACTTTCTGGTCTGCTCTTGTTGCATGAATTTCAATTCATGGCCTAAGGACATGGACAAGGGGCTTGGACAAGTCTGTCCAACAACCTGTTTACTTGACCCTTGCCCTTCTTGGCTGCTCACAGCTAAAGACAGGATGTGTATCTGGATCTGGGAGGCAGTGATCAGGTCCACTCTAAAGAGGCCAAACCTGGACCCAGAGCTTGCCACCAATTATAGAATGGTGGCAAGCTCTTTTTGAGCAAGGTGCTTGAGCAGGTGGTGGCTGGACAGCTCCAAGTTCTCTTGGAGGAAAAAACTGATCGTCTAGACCCATTCTAGTTTGGTTTCAGACCTGACTATCGGACTGAAAATGCCTTGGGCACATTGTATGATGACCTGTGCAGGGAGAGGGACATGGGGGAGTTCAAACCACACAGAATACTTTATTGTGCTGTTCTTTTTGTTGGCAGCTTGATTTTTTTTTAATGCACATCAATCTCTGAGGGATTTCTTTCCTGTTCTTTTGTTCCCATTCCTTTTTCTGGAAGAAAGTAATTGCTAGGTAATGGGTTGCACTCATACAGGGTGGTGGAGCAACTTTACCATAAGAAGGACCGCTGCTGCAGCCACCAGTGGAACTCAGGTGAGTCCCACCAGCTGCTTTCCTGTCATTGCATTTGCTACTACACTACTACAGCTTGAGTATCAAATCCAAGTCAAGGTTTCTATATTGCAAACTTCATGCGCCACACAAATAAAAAAGAAATAAAATGGGTATAACATTTATTCTTTTTATTAGAAATGAACGAAACATTCAGATATCCCCTTGGAGGGGATTGCATCTGCCAAATGTCAAACAAATAGTTGTAGGTTTGTCTGTGTGTATACTGTGCACCTTTATACTTTGCTTGTTTTTAAGGAAACTTCCAATAACCATTTTTATTATTATTATTTCCTGGCAGAACTGGATGAAATCTACAAAGGTAGTTACTTCTTCTGAGTGGTTTCGGCCTGCCAGTTTTGGATTAATATTTGTAGGAACTTTTGTGTAACAATAACCTTTACATTTTGATGATGTCCATAATTTGCACAAAAAAATATGTGCTTATCGTCCTTCGCCTCTTGTGGAACATTCTTCTGAAAATGACAAATTGAAAACCATTTTTATTTTTTTATTCATTACATAGCAAAGTCTGGTAATTCTAGAAAAATGGCATCCCCCGCAAATCAGTCTCCATCCCCCACCCCAATAAAGCATGGCCTGTGATTCCAAGGTGGGCCTGTGACTCATTCAGTTGGACTCACTCTCCCCCGTGATAATCAACATTTTACAGAAACAAACCCCACAAACTCTATTTAGAGAGGAGAGAGAATTTCTGTGTCTCTGAGCATGACTCTGTAAGAAAGCCTGATTGGGACCCACCTTTGGGTTGGTGGCTGGAGGGGGAAGCCCAGTAAGCATCAAAAATGTGCTGATGGAACCCAACTGTACTGTAGACTTGCCTGAATCTGATGCATAGTAGTTGGCACTGCATACACCTTCCTGCATTCTCAGTAAGTTTGTCCATTATTCGGTGCCCTCAGGTCCTGGAAGAAACAGAGCAGGCGTATAAGGAACAGAAGCAACTTTCTGCTTATCCCCACCCCAACCCCAAGTTGAAATTTCCAGTTGTCATCAAATGAAGACAATTTTTGATTCAAATGAGTGTCTCTTTTGTCTCTGCTTCTTTATAGACCCAGCTACTATAATAGTGACATAAAAATTCTGTAGTTTTGGAATGTGTCTTAACACTATTCTGTGGTTGATTTCCTGAGGCTGTAGTACTAATCACACTTATTTGCTAAGTTATTTGCACATTTACTTATTTCATCACATCTATTTCCAAGTGAGCATGCATGGAATATTTATGCAGCCAACCAGCCAGCCAGATGAATTTCATAGAACTAGAGCCATACATCTATAGCACTTCCCTTCTTAAAATAAGCTGCATTTATTAGGTTTTATCAGGGCATCAGTTATAATCTCCCTTAAGCCGATCTCTACTAGGAAACAGTAAACTATAAAAAAACCTAATTTCTTTTCTGACAGAGACGATCAAATATTACATATACAAGAAAGCTTGCCTCTTCATTGATGAAATGAGCTCCATAACTCATCCATAGACTGTACTAATTATCTCTCATGGAGCAAACTAACTTGACAGGAAAAAAAGCAGTCTTTTTAATAAGGTTATTTACTTCTTAATTAAAAAAACAAAATAATTAAGAATAGATTTAACTTCCTACAGCATTAGAACAGCTTGTTCAATGAAATTACTGCAACCCTCTAGACTCCCATTACTCTTGCATTGTGTAAATTTCTGTCAACATTTAACATGGAACTTGGCACTTTCACTCATCTCTGACAATTATACGTTGCAAAATATACTTACTGATACACACACAAATACCCATGTGTAATGTAGTGCCCATTTGGATATTCAGAAAGAGTTATGTCTTTGAAGTAAATGTGCATTTATTTATATATAATTATTTTGAAATATATATTTTAACCTGCCCTTCATCACATGATATCAGGGCAGTACACAGGAGGTATGTGTGTGACAATATAATAAACATAAGACACCATAGTAAAATAAGTGGGAAAGTAAAAGTGGAGAACAAACTTAACATTAACCTAGTTGGATAAATAAGTAAGTTTTAACATGATGCTGAACCAATAGTAGTGTGAACTCTAGTCAAGATTCAGAGGAAAGCTATCTGGGGTGCCATCATAGAAAAGCCCCTCTGGCTAGTTGCAAGTTCCTTGGAAGTCTCCTCTGAAGATCTTAAGACATGGAAAAAGTTGATACAACTAGTCATCTAGAGCTTCCGATGGAAGCATCACCACCTAGAAATTGGGCTTGGAAGCAAATATTTATTATTTTAATACATAAATGTTGAATGTAACACTTTAAGGATTTCTGTAACGTGATCCTATCTGGCTCTGCCATTTAAAATCCTAGTAACTGCATATTGCATGATTTAAATCTTCTGCATAATCTCCAAGGGGATTTCCACATTTCATGTAATCCATCCAGGGGGTTGCAAGAGAAAGAGGTTGCATTGCCAAACCACTCATCCAGTAGAAGTCATTATGTTCCACATATGACCTGCAGAATGCGCAGGGCCAACAAGTTTGTAAAACAGCTTCATAATTGTCATGGCAGCCATGAAGTCCCAAGCTGGTCCTCCTTTCCTCCACCATCTGCATGTATTCACCCCATCATGAATACTATTATTATATATTATTGGGACACAGTGGCACAGCGGGTTAAATCAATGAGCCACTGGGCTACCGATTGAAACAACTGGGCAGGTTGAAGCTGTGCAACAGAATGTACCAAGTTTTAGGGTGATAGTTGGAATACACTGGCTCTTGGAGTATCCAACATATGAAAATGAACACAAGGCTATGCTAGGTCATTCAACTGACTTTCACAAAGACTTTTCAAAGATATGCCATAAGAATACTATCCCTGATCTGTTTTCATGAACTGAGTATAAAATTCTTGACATTTAGAAAGGACACAGTATGTCAGCTTGAGTATGCTCACATTAAATCCTTGTAAGGATTATCAGCTTTAAAAAATGTTACAAAGTATTGATATTCAACTTTGAAATAGTTTTAAATATTAAGTATTGATATATAAATACAAACCTTCACAATTCCTTTCACATCTATACCCTTTCCCCAAACATGTCAAAGAGGTATTAGTGCCCCCTACAGTAAAATAGACCCTTTTTAGCATTCATTTGATGTTTTATCTTAAAGGACCTTGTTGGTGTTAAAAATACTAAATCGTAACTGTTGAGACAAAATAGTTAGCCCTGTATATTGTGTGCCCTGTATTTAATTTTCTTGATACCCTTGGCAAAGAAAGCCTGAAGTGTTATTTAAAGAATTATCCTCTCAAACTTCCTGGAAAATCAGGTGTGCATCTCATGATATGTCTTAGTTTATTTGTTACATTTTTCTGTAGCTATTAGCTGAAGTTTTCTGGGTGTTTCAAATGGAAAGTCAAGATGAAAAGCTATCCCAGAGCAGATGACTCTTAAGACAGAAATATGTATTAACTTACTTTCATACTGTCTTGAGGTACATAAAGTCATAGGTGGAGAGAATAGCAACACTTCTGTGTATGTATTCAAGCCATTTGACAGAAGTTTGAATCATGCTGGTTACCAATTCTGAATCTTCAAATATTACCCTATGAAACTAGTAAATCAGGTTTCCCCAATTTTCTCCTGATGTTCTAGTAGTTATTGCAAGGGTTTAATCTTAATGTGCAGCTAGAACAAAATATGCAGTGGAAGTTTTGGTGCAGTTGGGAATGTGGACTTTACTAATCAACACATCTTTTTTTCTTAAAAGGAATAGGTTAAGAAAATGAGAATAAAAATACAGCATTAAGATGATTATTGTTCCTTTCTATCTTCATTAATCTTCCATTAATCTACTAATAATAGATTATTGGGACCAACTGCTTGCTTGGCCAGTCAAAACTATTTATTAACTCATGTATCTATCAACAGTATATGTAGCTATACAACAGTGGCACTATCAGTAAAAAAGCAAAGATGATGACTATATAATTGTGCCTGGTTCTGTACCTCCTCTCACAGTACATCCATCACAACAAAATGTCTTAGTCGGATCATCACCATCTGGGGCTAGGTAAGAGAAGCAGTGCTGCTAGGATGCCTGAGGAAAGTCCTTCAAAACAAACACATCTTGCTTTGGCTGTGACTTTGGTTATGTACTCTTGTTTAGTCATTGAAAAGTGTGCTGATGCTTAGGGTATCATTCAATTAGAAGTAACAAGTTGTGATCAATGTAGAAGTTTCTTTCTCTCTTTTTTTAACTCAAATGAGAGTCTTTTTTTGGTTTTAAGTGTGGACATGACTGTTGTATTGATGAGGTATTCAGAATCAGCACTATGTGGTTCCACAATCTGACGACGAGCCATGAGTGTTCACATTTCTATATTCTGTGTATAATGCAAGAAAATGGACCAAATGGACAATGTCAGCTTGTGAAAATCATGGATGCTGTCAAGTTGAACTATCTCCTCATATTCTAGCAAGAGTTCTGCCAGACTGAAGTCTCTACCTAGTGCATTCTGAACTGCTTCCAGGTTTATTGAAGGTTGTGAGGTGGCAAAAGCTTTCATAATAAGGAATAGATCAACATCAACTTCACAGCACTGAACTCAGCAAGAGAGTTAACTACCTCATTACAGACAATGCCAACATCTCTCCTGTCAAATACATACCAGTGGTGTTCCTTGTGCCTCTTCTTATGCTTTGTTACTAGCTGAACTCCTTCCAGCATCAGATTTCCATCTGGCTGTGTAACAGCTTTATCCTCAGTAGCCTTGACCTACCCACCAAGTAAATACTGCTCTTTCAGTGTCAATAACTTTGATTTTAGCAACTCTGGCAGCTTTTCTGTAACAAACCTGGTGATACCAAGTCCTTGCAGCTGCTTCCTGCACTGGGATCTCTTCTCACATAATACAGCCTTCAAAGGTTGTTGCCTCTGATACAAGATCAGGACTGGAAGAAGAGGTGGGGCTGGAATATGTAGCTGAATTGCCAAAGCCAAAAAATACAGAGATAAGACAGAAGCTGAGGATAACCTGTCCATTTCAAGTTCTGTAGAAAACTTGGTCAAGCATCCAGAGATGGGTGGGGATGGCCTAAACAGTATCTGCTCAATTTTATGGCAGACCAGTTGAAAAGTGTCATATGTCTGTGGTGATTAACCCAGGGTAAGAACCACCCTGAAGATGGAGACTTCTCCTTTTGGTTTGGAAGGAAGATGCCATGGGCTTGTCTCCCCACCACTCAGAGCAGGACAAGTACCTATTCAAGACTCTAAATGCATTAACCAGAAAGGACAGAAGTAAAACTGGGTCTTCATCAAGGAGGAATGCAAGAAACCCATGAGGAGTTATTCATGAAGAGGAAAAAAATAAAGACATTCAGACTGAGTGCAGCAATGAGAAGGAAAACTCTGTCCATCTGGCCCAAAAAACCTTGGGCAGTGTAAAGTAGAGCAGTTATTGGCGTCTGCAATGTATTGAAGTTCTCTGATTCTGTGTGCTGATGAATGGAAATACTTACCTCCCAGTTTCTGGAATATATGCTGGACTTCACGAAGTTATTTGTAATCTCTAGACAAGTTTTGACCAGTAGACTCTACACCAGAATATTAGCAGAAAGAGGGACAGAAGATTCTTCATTTTGGATGGGAAGAGATTCCATGAACCGGATTTCTTGTCTAATGTTGACAGATGGTCCTTTTATGACCAAATAGAGCATGTCTAACTGCCTTGCCACAGGCATCTTCAACTGTTCACCCCCAGATTTCACAATGACATGCATCATTCCATAAATGTTCTCAATTCAGGATGAGTCCATATTAACGTGTCAGGGGCAACACCAGTGCATCCTCAGTCAATATCTTCATTCTAATGCAACTAGTTTAGCAAAAAAATATTTGGAAGAAAAGATATACAAGCAATTAACGACAGCTTCAAACTAGTAGAAAACTGAGCAACTGGTCTTATAGCATCCCTGCAGACACAGACATTCTGCTTGTCCTAGCCAGCAAGAAATTCTTTCCAAAGGCAAAGTGAATCATTGAAATCTGAGCACCACTCAAGCAAAGCAACCTGTGTCTCCAGTAGTTGCTCTTCTGCTCAGATGTTCTTGATCTGACCTCTTCCTTCACAACCTCTCAGAAAAATGTAGCCTGAGTAACAGAGTTCTCTCTAGTCCTTTGGTTTACTCAAGGGGCTTGTCCAAGTCACCTTGCTGTACATTTGAGAGTAGCCAAGAAGCAAAACGGATAACAAATGCTTTATTGACTACAACTAAATAAACCACTTCTGAATCATCTTACCTTGAAAACCCTACAATGAAATACTGCAAAATGAAACAAGAGATAGTGCCAGGAGATCAGATCTCCATGTTGGAAGGCAGTGTGCTACAGGGGAAGAGCAAAGGACAAGTACGAATCATGCAGTTGCTAATGACTCATCTAGATCAAAGCCAAATGGAAGTCCAGTGGCTAACAAGCACAGAGCTGAAAGAAAAGTCTGATGTTGCACAACACATACAATCAAAACATCGAATGTGAGATGTATGAATTGATGCAAACTTGCAACAATAGAGTAAGAAACAGCACAGTGAAACATCACAGTACTAATGATACATCTTTATATGGTTCAAGATTCTCTGTTTTTAGATTATGGTACCATCTTGTAGTTGTAAGTTGAGTATACCCTGTTTCCATTCAATTGTATCCAGAGGAATTCTGTACTAAAGGCCATACCTACTAATAATTTATCTGTTAGTAGCAGCAGAACATTTATGATGCTTATTTATTTCACATATTCTAGAAAAGATTTCTAGAAAATGTCCCAGAAGACTGAATCCTTTGCATGTTTAGACAGAAAACAAGTTCTACAACTCCCAGCTCTCTGAAGCCAGCTGTGAACCCTAATTTACCAGGCTAGTGGCTAACAGAGAGAGGTACAGTCCCTGTGGTAATATTTGCCTCTGTCATCAAAGCACAATGTAACCTTAGGCAAGCCACTTCCTCTCAGCATCAGACCATCAGCTGCAGGATTACTGTAAGGATTTCAACAAGATAATGCTTTCCATCACTCTATAGCACAACGCTTGGCAGCAGTATGTAAATGTGTTACAATTGTTACTCATGCCAAAAGATGCTAGGAGAGAGCA